CAAAACAGTTTCACTGAGATAAATAAAAGAGCTGGGAAGCAATAATTCTTCCCAAGGGCATTTAGTTATTTCCCTCAGTTCTCTAGATAAACCATAGCAGAACTGTCACTATTTGGGAAACATTAAAGAAATCTCTTCCTTTGACACGGAGTTGTTGTTCCTCCCCATTAGCTCTAACTGTGTTAAGCCAAACACTATCAGATGCACTGATTTAATTTCCCATTCTATGACCAGCTATTGTGGCTCAACCAGCTCATCCCACCAGTAAATTCCTTCAATTCCTTTAGTCTCTTTTCCTGACAAGTCAGATTTCAGGTAATGTAGTACTCAACAGGCTGGAGTAGTTGATGAAAAAAAAAATTAAGCCAAATGAACATCTTTACCAAATGTTAACAAGAAAGCAAATTCAGAATTCAAGATTAAATCTGCAAAAATCCACAGACCTCCAGAATCCACAGGTTTCCCAAAAGAAACCTGATTACAGTTTTGCCACACGTTCCAACGCTGCATGTCCCTCACGAGCAAAGCACCTGCATGTGAGGTCAGCACCTCAGAGCAGCTCAGTGTTCAGACAGGACATCCTGCCCTGCTCCTACTCCAGACTATGCTGTGGAAGAGGCCAAGTCACCTGGAATTACATTACCTGGACTTCTCTGCTTGCAGATCTGAGCAGTCAGGTCTTGGACATACTCTGGGAATTGCTGGAAGCAGTCCCCATAGGACACCACTTTTATTCCATGCAGCAACATATCTGCCTGGAGCTTAAAAAAGTGATCTTCATTTTCTTTAAGCACCAACATATAATGTTCTAAATCCACTTTGTTCTTTACTGTGTAAAGAAAAAGAGCTTGAAAGATCTGGTCACGCAGAGTCTCTCCACAGCCCAGGAACAAGAAAGACTTTGTTCGGTACAAGTTCTGAAGAACTTCCTGTGAAGGAACACAAACACACAAGAGCCACATTTACTCCCACAGGCAAAAGCCAAGGTCAGACCTTTTAAAATGTCAGCCAGAAGAGCAGCAGAGCAGAGCAGAGCTCAGCAGTGAGCTGGAAGGGGTATGCTGTATGCCCAGGACACCCTGACCAAAAAAAAAATAAAAATGCAAAAATCAAAGTTCTCACATGAACACAATGGGGGTTGGAACCAGCTGATGTTTAAGGTCCCTTCCAACACAAGCCTTTCTGGGAAATTTAAACAGACATGTGGGTGCTGCCAGTAACGGAATTTTAAATGGAAAGAATGAGGAGTCACAATATTGGGCTTCGCTAGGTCTATTTGTAAATAAGGAAAATTAATATTCTTGAGCAAATGTTTGACTTCCTAAACCAGCTAAGATAGGACATTAAGTCCAGGATCCAGAGCTGGTAACAGCTTAAGCCCCTAAAAACTTCATTCAGGCAGTCTTTGGGTGATGAATCCTTGTCCTGGTGTCCAGTATTTTGGGGCTCCTGTTCTTTCCTAAGAAAAATACAAAGAACTCCAACTGTGATATCCAGCTGAGGCATGGGATTGTGATTT